TTTATATCCAACAAGTAAAGCTTTTGACACAAACTGCAGCAGTTGAGGATACTCAGAGGAGGTTAACTTGTAACTGGTAGAAGATCTCAAGTCCATCAACAGTTATCAAGCGGGTTGAAACATGTAAAATGTATCTACCTATAATCCTTGTTGGTCTCAGCTTTGTAGCTTTTCAGGTGACTAACTTTATTGAAATAAGTGTATATAGTTGAATTGCAATGGTGGAAAGGATTTTATATTTCGTTGGTCAATTTTTGCTGGCTTCATGACACCTGTTTTGCAGAGACACCATTTTCACGTCACTATTTCAGCAGGACGCCTTGAGTAAAATGCATTGCGGTAACTGAACTAAAATCGTGGACAAATAACTTGTAGTTGATAAAACTTTGGAACTTATTGAAATACCTGGGTAGTTGCAATGGAACCAAAACCTGTTGTCTTGAAGGACATCATTCTTGTCTCTGGAAAAAATGATAAAAAAGTTATATTTTTTAAAGCGGATATAATCAGAAAACGCACTAAAGAAGGGTGACGTAGCTCCGGTCCGATTCCCAGGCTTGACATTACGTGTGACTCAGTAGAGTTTGTTATATCTATCTCTTGATTCCAGAATTTTTCTTCGGATTCGATACTTAATTCGATCTTTAAGTTAGCCGTGCCCTGAATTAGATCAGCCAAGAGGTTGTTTCAGGGTTCGATCTATAGGTTAGCCATGACCTAACCTTGATCTGCAAAGACGCTGTGATTGGCTAACATTTTAAATTTTTCTCAGGTCCGCTGGCTGTCATTTGACTCTCTTAGGAATGCTTGCAAGCTACCAAGGAAAGAAAAGGCAAATCCCTTCTATTTAAAACATAGCTACCTTCTTCATATTGAATGTCTGTCAGTCCGTCTAGACGCCATTGCTTCTTGGACGGCTCCCACCAGGCCAACTGTGGCTTCTCAAAGTAAACCACGTTGTTTGGTAATCTGATGTGTTGAAAGAGATAACATTAGCACCATAAATAGGAATTACATCCCTCAACGAGTGACGCCTGCTAGTTTATATAATAATACTACCACAGGAAGTCCGCGGTTATGTTAATAACCAAAAGTGGTTACCATGGTAGCCATGAGTGTCATGGTTACCGTGTCATTTGCTCACCAAGCCCTACTGGCGATTTGAATGCAATCAGCCAGATGTCACAACGACATGGAATTTTCCCAAACTTTGTCTGCACGTTTTCCTGGCATATTTTCTTATGTGCTGACGTTATTCACACATGAATATAATACATTTCAAGCTTAGTAAGCACCATGGAATACACTAGTTTCGCATTCGATGCACACCGCTGTTTTTGAAGACCATATACTCGTTTGCATAGGCTTAGTCTTGTTTATAAGCCAGCTATTCACAGATACCATTAAAAGTCTTTGGGATTTCAAAACATTGGTATTTTTCAAGCTGCACATTCTTTACATTAAAGTTGACATTTGCAAATGATTAACTCTTAAGCCTTTGCAGATGAGTCTTCAGCCATAAAACACAGCGGTATCTACGGAATAATAAAAGGGACTATTTTGAAATAGTTGTATATCAACACTAGCTACCATTCTTGTTCCCAGATCCTACTCGGTTGTCGTTCCTCCACGTCAGAGAGGAGGAATGACAACCGTGGAGGATCTGGGAACGAGAATGAACTAGCTACAGTCTCAACTAGTTTATCCAATCTCGTTCCCAGACCCTACTCAATGGCTAACGAGAAGGGTTGGGAACGAGAATGCTAGTTTACCTAAAATTGATGGCAAGAGGTGGATTGGGTGCCTGGAATTGGCTGGTGGAGGCTGATAATGGAGGAGCATTGCTACTAGACGCCGATCCTGGTAGAGTATTGGTCCCTGATTGTGTCTGGTAAGGAAGCCTCTTCAGATCAGGGGAAACAACTGCAATACGAAATTGAAGGAAATTTACTCCACGCCGTATCATTCAACTACCACACGTAGGTGAGCATAACAGCATAAGACGTAATTTGTTACCAATGAGCGCGCATGATTTATTTTATTCGCTTGTGAAAAATACTAAACATTATTAGAGACAGCTAGTATCAACCCCAACAAATCAATAACATGTATAGACATGAATTGCCCTAATTCACTATGACGTCACTGCTTGTTTATGTGGGGATAGAATCGCCAAATCCAATAGAAAATTCAACAAAATTTGCTCCTAGCGAAACAGTTTAATCTAAAATGGCCTGGTTTTCACATATGATATGTGTTAATATGTACTAAAAAATATTCTGAGCGTTTTCTGGCTATTCTACTTCTCTTCGTGGATTGATACGGGTTTTAGAACGATTTTCGGTGAATTTGCGTTGATTTGACCCCCTCTGACGACCATGATCCTTTGCGTTTAAACAATAGATTGTTTTGATGTGACGTCATAGTGAATTATGGGTAAATCATATGCACAAACCACACTCAATTCATTCCACGCATACTCGCAGCACTTTACTTGCAATCCTTGCAATATGCACATTATTTGCAATATTTCGCTTACTTTGCTGTATTATCCAGTTTTTGACGTGTTTTGGTTGAGGAGGAAGCTCCAGTAAATCAATAAACATGATAGGTCCAATAACACCAAATGCCCTCAAGTCAACTACATCGTCGTCATCTTCGTCATCATCTTCTTCATCAAGGGCTGACGTGGTTTCTGCAAGAACCTCTTCACCTGATTGGTCGGTCTTTGTGACGTCATCTGCTCCCTCTTCTAGTGACAAAACAAAAATCTTGTAAAAACCGCATCAATTGACAAATTGCTTTTTACTATGACTCTCCTTCTACAGCCCCGTTTACGCTGGAGATTTTTGCGGCGACTTCTGCTGCGATTTTTGTGGCAATTTTCGGAAATATGAAATCTTTTGTCTCATCCTTCAAAAGAGACATTCG